ACTGATGTGTTCGAATGTAACAACTAACTAGGTTGAGTGTTGTGGCCGTAATTAGGGTCAGCCCGATTCCCGCCACCCCAACCTACCCAGGCCGAAATAACTGATCCTCTAACTTAGGTTGGTACAGTGACCATAGGGATTTTAACTCAAGCAGTGGGGGTTGGACACAGCATAAAAAGACGGAGTAGCTAGAGCGTAAACGCTTTTGGATAAGTTGGGGCAAATATGGTATCATGGAAAAACATTGAAAACCGTGAGCAAATGGTTTCGTGGAATTGTATCCACAGAAATGCGCATTGGAAGGGGCTCATTATACTGCAATTCTCCAAATGGTTGTGCAAAACAGGACCAGGTGACACGACCACACAGCTGGCTGAAGGTAGGGTTGGTGCACCGATGAACCATCCGCTTAGACTAATCGCTGGCCTGCTGTTGACATGTTTCAAAGTTCAGGATGATACCCAGCATCCTCAAAGCAGATTTCATAGAATTGTCTGGTAAATGCAATAACCTAATCGGTCCTTATGATAAGAAAAATATCCAGGGACATTTACAAATTGTCTCGTCATCGATCCTTTTCTCGTAGAGACCCATCCCTGGTCTCTCTACACCCGTCCTGGTCGTACACCAGGGACGGTCGCCATCAACCAACAAAAAATCTTCGCTTCGTACTTCGAAAAACCAATTGTGGCCGTATATTNGAAAAACCAATTGTGACCGTAGATTGCCTTGGCGCAACAACTGATTTCACGGACCCATCCGTTGTGTGACCAGATGATCATCACTTGATTTTTGGAAATTGTTCAACTTGCTTTTGAGGCCATTCACTTGTACAAGTATAAGCGCAGTTTTTCCCTATCGAATACACCACAAGAGAAGGTGAATCGAATGTAATGGGTGGTAAGGGAAGATCAACAGGCAGTTCAAATGAGCAAACAAAGTACTCGTTTGAAGGACTTTTTAGGGAGACAGCTGCGCTGCATGTGCTTATCTCCACCTTTCCACTGGATTACCCAAACGTCTTTGTGTTACCACGTGCATCTCCCGTGTAAATAATTCTCTCTATCTGATTAACCGGCGCATTACAAAACCCCAATTAATTTAACCCGCAATTGTGAAGGGCATTCATTTGTGTTTGGGTAATCACCCCCCCCCCTCTCCAGTCCAATAAAATGGCCAGCTCTGCGACACTGCCGAATTCGCTTGAATCTCCCAATCGTGTAGACAGGGAATTCGGAAAGAATAACCCGAAGAGTCAATGACCTAGAACGTACGCCCTGACGCGCGTGCGGGGCGGAAACCTAAAATATAGCATCCCAAAGAAACTTAGCCGAATTAGAGTGGGCAAACACCCCAGTTCGATGAGGACTGTTCAAGTAACTGGAGCGAGCAAGAACCTCAAGTGCACGTGATACTCTCAGACACGTCCCTCCTCTCGATCTGTGGATGAAGGAAGAATGCGAATACTTCTGCCATGTCGGTTCAGGTTGACTTAACTCAATGCCTATCTTTGTCATTAACTCGGGTGGAAATCGGACTGTGCACACCAAGTTTTCTTTCGTCTCCACCAGAGATATGCGGAGTGGGGTGTACCAAACAGATATGCATGACTGCACTTCGATATTGTCTATGCCACCAAAAATCAATTTCCCACCGTGACAAAAATTTCAGAAAAACTCGTTCGCTTCGTACTTCGAAAAACCAATTGTGGCCGTATATTGCCTTGGCGCAACAACTGATTTCACGGACCCATCCGTTGTGTGACCAGATGACCATCACTTGATTTTTGGAAATCGTTTAACTTGCTTGTGAGGCCATTCACTTCTACAAGTATAAGCGCAGTTTTTCCCCATCGAATACACCACAATAGGAAATGAATCGGATGTACTGGGTGGTAAGGGAGGATAAACAGGCAGTTTAAAGGAGCAAACAAAGTACTCTTTTGAAGGACTTCTTAGGGAGACAGCCGCGCCGCATCAGCCAATGTCCGCATTTCCACTTGATTACCCAAACGTCTACGTGTTACTGCGTGCATCAGCTACGTAAAGAATTCTCTCCATCTGATTAACCTGCGCATTACAAAACCCCAATTAATTTAACCCGCGATTGCGAAGGGCATTCACTTGTGTTTGGGTAATCACCCCTCCCGTCCAATAAAATGGCCAGCTCTCCGACACTGCCGAATTCACTTGAATCTCCCGATCGTGTAGACAGGGAATATGGCAGGAATAACCCGTGGAGCCAACGACCTGACGCACGTGCAGGGCGGAAACCTAAAATATAGCATCCCAAACTAGTCTATTCGCTCCTTCACGTTGCGAATACCGTTCTAGCAGGGTTGCACCCACTCGGGGATATCAAATTCGTAAAAGGAATGAAATGTGGTATCCACATCCATTCCGACTCCGTTTTATCCGTGTCAAAAAGACACTGGCTGAGTACAGCTCGGTCGATTTCCGGGACGACCGAACGTCCCACGCTTTAGCTATGAGCGGTGACCTGCAGTGAATGCAAAAGCGAATCACCTCTCTTCCTCAGTAGCATAATGTCCTTTCCGCGAGCATCCTAAAAGATCAGCTTCCAGGCTGTTTGCTTCATCATTACTGAGAACATAAACAAGAACCAGCTGTTAAGTGTGCATGACAACGGCAACTAGAGGAACGAGCTGAAGCTTACATACTCTAACATAACGTAGCGAAAAAGATAGTTCAGCATGAGTTAGCTGCGGCTAGGCAGGAAGACCCGTTCTTCGAGGAAGTAAGTTTCAACGGTAGGGATGAGATGGCTCAAGTGGCTAGGGAGCAAATTTACTGAACGGAAGATCCGTGGTTGGAACCCGACCTCTGCCTCTCACTTCCCGTGTCTAGGCTTGGGCAACCTGGTAGTATCCCAGTCCTCGTGCTTCCTTCTGGTAGCATGGTAGCTAGGCACCGGAAGGGTGTTACAGCTGAATGATTCAACGGTAGACTTTGCGACGGACATCCAGCTCGAAAAAACGCTGTTTCTAACATGGAAAACTGACTATTCAGGTGGACATGAAGTAAACTATACACACATCTACACCTCACACCATCTACACAGATTGGGCTTTGGAACAAGTCCAACCCCACATCACTCGATCCGCTAGCCAACTGCCCCACAGAGTAACTCCACAGTAAATCAACAGTCATATTTTAAACATGTATTTTATCGTAAACTTGTTATCCTAAGACTAAGCGTTACAAAATGCGCCCGGAACTGTGCCGTAACAGTTCTCAAATGCAACCTTCCGGGGAAGAGGAATCCCAATCAGTCTGCTTCAGTCCCCTTCAGAGGGCTGGAAGTTGTGACGCTACCTGACTGGCGGGTCAATCGATCGTCACAATCAAGACAATTACTGAGTGGTCGTCGTATGGTTCGGGAACACCAATCACACCGCTCAAGCATGAACACGTTCGCCTGTTCAGACGCGTCCAACGTACGCTGGTGGAGTAGCGGTGGCACCCTCGCCTGACATGTCAGATGTGCAGAGTTCAAACCCCGGCACGTCCAAGGATATCATGCACTGCTGACGAGCTCTACTAAAAGAGAAACCCTAGTCCAGTGATTCATTCTTTGGTGTGGACTCACCAGAATAATCACGTCGAAAGGAAGGACGACAGTTCAAACGAGTGGTGTGGATAAGAACAACCTCTGATTGTCACTCCAGAAGGAAAATCGAAACTTTGAAACCATTTCTGATTCCACTTGTACTACCACCATTCCTCTGCACCAGCCCGGACGGCTTGTCTCCGGTTTTTCCGTAATATGCTCTGGACTTTCTGAGATTTTATAAACTATGTATGTCCACACAGTACAAATAATCACCTTGAATCGATGTAGGAGAGGAGGAAATCGGAAAAACCTTGATTGTAACCAGATTTAGCAACAATTACGATGTGAGATCCTTGTTGGTCAGACCTTGCCCCCAGTCTCAAAGTTTGTCAAGGATCCCGAACATTTCGAAGCTACACTGGCCCAGTCATGTTACAGGAGCCGAAGGTGTCAAACGAATCACAAGAACCTATTATGCGTTAACATATTGAGACTGTGAAAGAATCCGAACTTGGTTGGTCAGGTGCAGAAACCGTGGCCATGTATCACCTACTCGAAGATGACCGCAAGTCTTCATGAGACGATTTTCATAAAGTCAAAAACCAAACGACCGAAATCGAATCGACCGCGTGGTTAAACATGGTTGTTCGATTTCCAAATATCCGCATGCTCGATGTCTTCAAACCCAGTGGTTCTATTGCACCACCCTCCAATGCGCCGACAGTTGTTGTGGCCAGACTCCATAACCACGTTACAGCTTGGTGGCTGGTTGAAATTCTCCAGCCTATCCAACGGCAAAAGCTCGCCACGATTGACCTGATATGTTTCAATGCATGGGTCTCATAAGACAAAGTGATGTCAATCACAGAACTGTCCTCGCGCAATGCAGTCTCCCTACTCACAAATGTACACATGCTGGAGATTACTGTTTACCTGTGCACATGTATCGATGCTTCAAGGGTTGCGTTACGAACAGGCAGGCGAAAGGTCTCGTCACACGTTAGCCACTAACATAGGTGCACATATATGTATAAAGACATATAAACTAACATCAAAAGTACGGGGCACTGACGCGATCGCTACTCACTAACGTTTGTCTACATGCTCAAACTTGGCCAATGAGAGGTACCACAATTCATTCTTGATGACATATTTTGTTTTATTTACAAAGTGCGATTTAGACAGTGTTTTGAATCGACCCAATGAATCGAGCACAGCTAACAGCTTTACTACGTAAAAGAAGGTAAACGACCTGATCTCCTTTCTGGGAGTGCAAGAAACGATGGCTCTACTCAAAGAAGCGTGTGGCACAGAGTAAACTGGAGTGAAGGACGTACGAGGTCTCAGTTTTCCCTCTACGATGGGAAATGACCCCCGCTTGCTTTGGTGTTCTACGTTCTGTTCATCGTCAGCAACAATGGCGATGTGTCTGACTCAAAGCATATCCCATAGACCATACACAAATCCAATGCAAAGCTATTTACAGGATGTATTATGGTAAAAATCAATAAAAGTGATCAGAATACACTTCAAAGCGATATGGATGCCCACAGGTAGGTAGACCACCGTTTTTCAGTTACCACCAAACTGATTCTCGTCTGTCTCTGTCAGTAAGCCCTCAGTAAGCCAAGCGACTTCAGCCGCAATGGCGGCTTCGAGAAGAACTGTGTCATCTTCCTCCAGTGTAACTGTTTTCTCCAAGTCAGTTGAAGTACTGGATGGTCCCAAGGCCACGGGAGTGGCAACAAAGTCCTTGTCGGCTGTCTGACCAGATGACTTATCCGGACTGGTTTCAGGCGTATCAGACACGAGCACCCGACCGGAACAGTTCAGAACATCTGGAGCAGCAGCGGGCTGGGTTACTGCTTGCGCAAACAAATTGGTCAGTTTGGTTCGTTTTGCTGGCGGGGAGGTACGCTTTGTGTTTTGTTCCTCTTCGAATACCGGAGAAGAATCCGCCACATTCGGATCATGGATATTCATGAGTAACCTGTCAACCTCTTCATCATCGTCCGTCATGAGTTCTGATTCGAAAAAGTCCAGGATCGATTGCTGAACTGTGGTCTAGAGCAGTACAAAAGCCATAATGTCAGAACCGTGCAATCAGTGTAGGTGATGCTAAAGAGCATACATATTTGTATAATAAAATGACCAAAACAACGAGGGAGAAACAGTCACAGTATGAAGTTTCCGGACACACGTATCTAAAAGCCCAAGAGCCGCGTTCAATAAAGAAAGAATTGGGTTGTGAATCACTCACCTGGATGGAATGGACTCAAGTGAGAAGCTCAGTTGGACCTTTTTGAAAGGTAAGCACATACTATCTAATTCCTTCAATTCCAGAAAGCTGGCTGAAATGATCTTTCAGCTTCACTACACAGATTGGCCCATGCACAGTTCGGAGTGGAACTTGATCGAAAATGTTCAGGGTCTACCTGAGAACGACTGTCTGTTGTATATGATGAATCGAAGTACCTTATCAATCAGGAATGGGCGACATTCGAAGTTCAACTTAAGCAGAACGGAGTGCTTCAGTGGAAATTGATACGAGCCATGAGTTGTTTGCTCATATGGTCGTTTTGATCCGTCCAGGAGGGCTTTGATAGCAGTTCGCGCCTCTTGGGCACACTCGATGTAACTGAGTTCGATTTCAAATCCGAATAAGTTCTACGCTATGATGGGCATCAACGTGCCGAACTTCGGTATCCTCACTAACAGATTCCGCAATGAAATAAACAAAAATATGGTGCTTCCAAAAGCATTTTCTACATAGCCCATCCGCTTGGCATGACTGTAGGCTAAAACCACGTGTCGGACGAAGTGACGTAGACCTGCCAAACTCCAGTTCCAAAACTTTTGCCACGTACTATAACATCAAGACAGTGAAATGAGTAACTGTCGACTTTCCATGGGGTGGTGGTGCACTGTGAGTGGTCGACTAGCATCGCTTACGGTGTTAGACATTAGGGTCAGCACTGGATTTCCACATGTGTAGAACTTACTACCACAGCCGTTGCGATCAGCGATATAAATGAAGCGGAACTAACCCCCGAGAAAAATTAGTCGCAGCGAAGTAAAGCAACTGAATGTCAGACGCTGAGTGCACATCAGTCCTACTCTGCAGGACGAATCCATTTCATTGTGATTTGACTCAGTCATTGATCCGAAACTGTAGGAAATACCAAACGGTTGCAAGCGTTTGTAGATATCCAAATCAGCCGCCACTGAGAACTTGCTAAGCAAAAGAAAGTACTCCGGAGCTTACGCAAACAAACAGTAAATCGTCGCTATTGGGGGGGGGGGCAGGTGTCCTGTTGTGTTGAAATACAGAAACTCGCCATCTAGTTCGGATCATTGGAGCATAAGTTCTTCACAGGTTCATCCGTGGGAGGTGCGGGTTGAATAAAAGGGCATTGCCATCGTATGACAGCACAATGACAAGAAAAATAGGCAGGTACACTGTCCCCTCATCCTCAATAAGAACCGCCACTGGGACCTGGTCGATGTGGTTATTTCTGAGGAAAGTCCACATTCACGGAGATTGGTCAAATTCTTACAGTCATATGACACGACAATTGACCTTGGGTCAAAAATTGCAATTTTACATGCCGTTTAGTATATCATTATGCATATTAGATATAATGAATTCAATAACAAATCACCGTCCATTTGATCCGTTTGACATAACGCTCACAAAATGGACAATGAACATGGGATGCTACCAAGGGCCTTGGTGCCTAACTTGTTCGCGTGATTGTAACAGGTACTCTATGGTTTTTCCAGTGATCATAAAAACCACTCTTTACGATCATCAATCACCTTCAAGTCAGTCGTGCGCAAACCTATCGCCGCATCAAAAAACATTACCTACAAACCAGTTCTCATGTGGTTTGTTTGATAAATCAATGGTTCCTTATCGCATCCCTGTATCTGGACGAAAACCAAGACTAAGTTTGACCTAATCGACAGGCATGCCAATGAAACACATAGTCGGTAAATCTTGGAACCCAGCCTAACTTGTTTTTCCATGCCCACATCATCAGAATAGTCTATCTGCATTTAACTTGAAAGACCTACTTGATAAATGGTATTAAAGTGTAATTACTAATTTGTGATTCAGCACGACACCCATTGATGAACTGTCATTATTTTTATCAACCTAGAAAGTGATGTTGTGTCAAGACCGATCTGAACTCCCTATTTCGCACCGAAGCAAAACCTGCCACAGGAATGCTGTTCCACGAACCCTGTATGAAGTTACACAACACAAACAAAAAGGCTTACAACTGTATTCCTATTAGGCGAACATATGGTACAGTGCGGCCTAAAACATAGGTCAGGTGCACGGCACGCAAGCTGTCCGAACAGGTTCACACCACTCATGTCTCGGAAGCTGTCCAAACGGAGGGGGAAAAGACGGGGAATGGAGCGAGGGACATGGCGTTCGCAAGCATTCTGAGGTGCTTACACCTCCAAACACTCAGTCGAACAATCTGAGAAGAAACTAACACCACTGACATCGATCAGTCGCCATTTCCTGCAACGTCTCCAACCAAGCGCAAGATGGGTTACGTGGACCCCATCCTGGAAGGCATATAACACCAACAACACCCAAACTCTTCATTATCTCCTTCACACCCTTCTGTCAAGTCATGCATCGCCCATATTGCGGTTTCTATCATTCTGGAGGACGCACGGAGACGTCTCGATGGACGCTGTTTCCGCATCCGTAGCACATGGCCGATCCACCGCAATTGATGGTGCTGAATGTTTTTCGCGAACGAAGTACCTGTTGCACAACTAAATATCCGCTTTGTAAATACCTCGTAGCGAATTCGTTGGCACCATCCGACAACCGCTACGCTTTTGAGGCCTAAAAACGCCTCACATCTCCTGTCCTCAGAGGCCATGTTTCACACTCATACAACAACGGCAGACTGGTACACCCGACCACTGAAGCCCAATGATATAACACTTTGAGGACGCAAGTGATGCAAAGTAGCAGACATAATTTAGGTCTTGGAGATTCGTGGACTGACTTCATCAGACCTAATAAAACTACCGAGGTATGTAAAATTTTCCACAACTTCCAGTGGTTCTTCTTGATTTGTAACCGTTATATTCATGGACTGCGCGTTTTGAAGCACGACTTTACATTTTGAAGGTACTAGGCGCAATCCGAAACATGGCATGATGGTAGTCAGTTCATTCAACAGAGCTTCCGATTGGCCCTCGTCTTCAGAAATGGGGTCAACTTCGTCAGCGCAGTCAACAAGAATCTCATCAGCAGCAATTTGAATACGGGGGTTTTGAAGACCTTCCAGTGTTCGGCTCATTATTTCATCGACAACGAAGTTGAACAGGAACAATGAAAGCGGATATCCTCGTCGGGTACCACTTTCTGTATGAAAGCTACTGAAGAGCTCACCATAAACTCTCACACGCTCAGAAGTAGGGGCGTGGGATCATATTAGGTTCACGAATTTCTTAGGCATACCCTGTTGAGCAAGTGTGATCAATAGAACTAACCAATAGATAGATCATAAACGAGAAATTCTGCTTGGATTCAGCTGAGTCTTCCATAAAATCGCACTGGAATGGGTACCTGTTAGGCAGTTTAACGGTGAAAAATCCCTCGATCCTATAATCGAATACTGGTCATCAGGGCAACACTCGGCAACCGCGTCTCTTGCATATTGCAGGGACGCCATGTATAAAGATGAAAAGCGTTGTTTATACTTTCTTTGCGATGCCGGGGTGAGTGAGGACCTACAGCACAAATTATTGATTGTCACCAGGTGACCACAACAAACTTGACCATCAATATGAAAATTAGCAGTCGGCCTGGTTCCAGATGCGAGGGGATATTTTCAGCCATTGTGATTGGTACGACTGTATTCAAGAGAATTGATTGTTAGCAACGTAATAGTCAAACCGTGGCACCATTTTGATACATAATGGATGTACAACTTCACAAAGGTGATAAGGCTAAGATACTGACAAACCTAGACAATTGAAATCGGAAAGCCGAGATAGGGCTCGACTAACAAGCTTCTGGGTCAGCGGTTTCGCGGCTTAGTCGTTCCGCTATTTATAGACTGATTACCGGTACTTCTCTGCAGCTGACGTCACAATCTTTCACTGCAGTAACCTGGTTAGCGTTTTTTTCCAAGCTGACGGTTCAGCGGTAGCACAAATTTGGACTTCAACTGACCGGTGTCCATAGGCACAATTTACTACGATGATCCGTTAAAACGCAACTGATCACGTCCAGTTGCGGAACAAATGAGTGTTCGTCCTGAAGTGAATTTTTTTATTAATTTGGTACCACCCGGTGGCTCAAAATGGCTACCTGAGTTTGAAGTTATTGTGCGGTGAGGTCCTCCTAAAAGCCATCATTATGAGATAGTTCAACCAGTCAACTGGAACAAAAGTGCGAAATAATTTGGTGAACTCAACTGAATGTCAGTTGATGAATACGAAAAACCAGATACGGAAACTCGAGGACCGCGTCTATCTGATGAACCCCAGAAGGGCAAACCCGGTCGTGGACTAACGAAGAAATTTCGGCAACTTAATGAGTAGTGTTCCACCTAAACTTGCCCATGTTAGCAGTGATGGAAAGATTTTTGAGGAGAGGCATTGTGTTAAGTCACCACCTCTACTGGTCAGATGATCTCCACAAGGCTCCACAGACTCGCGGCAGGACTCGGCGATACAATAGATGCCACTAGAGCATTGCTTTCTTTTACCTCCGGGGCACAAAAACTATCATATGTTTGTAGGTGCACAGAGCGATTAGGCACAGCAGCTTTCTTCTAGGTTGTGGATTCACTATGGTATCAGGCGTTAGATGCTATCTTTTAAAACTCCACATCAGTGAGTATGACAAATATCAATGCAATCCGGCCATCAGAGAAGCCCCAAGTGTGACAGAATGCAAAAATTTCCATATTTTCCAAGACAGCCAGTATAACGTAGCAATCGCGTTAGCATGGGATCACCACAGGCCTACTGGAGACGTTACAAATGTTCCAAAACAGCAGTTGGAACGAGATGGAAGACTTATGTGGCAAAAGCGACAAGTTTGGTGCACACTTACCCCGAGTCGCGTTGTATCCGCTGTTCGGAAAGTTTCTTGATTCAAACCAGCTTTGGATAAAACGTTCAACTTCTTTTCGATCAGTGACCTGGAAGTGGGATTGACACAGTACACAAGTCGAAATATGGCGAATTCCAATCTAACTTGGGATCTGGTGGTAAAAAAACACCAGTGGGCTGTGACAAACTCGATGAAGCTTAGAAAATTCGAAGAAGCCCAGGAAATCGATTTGATGTCAACATTAACCCCGGTTCGTACTCAGCTATGCAATAACAAACGAAGTCTGAAACCAAAATGCATCCACACAGCCGATAGTACACAACTAACGCCGGAGTGATGTAAATGTACTACTATATTCTAAACGAGTTATACTGTTTTCTGGTTAAAATGACCCAGTACAGTTCAACATACATCTCACTGTAAATCCTAACATGCCCTAAGAGAACTTTAGAAATGTCCCAACATAAACCAAACGGTATACCGAGAGAATATCCGCTACGTTTCGAATTTAATATGTCACAGACTGAACAAACACACTAATTTCACATGGAGATTTCCACTGAGATATCTGCATAACATCAGTGAATTACAACATAATGTGCAGGACGCTGAGACACGATATCCAACGGCTCTGCCAGACATTTCAATCTTACTTCTATCTTGAATCACTACTTGCGCAAAAGTTCAACAACCTGTTAAACTTTCATCTTGACACTGTCCCAATGTTCGGTATCGGCCAAAGAATAGGCATACCGTTTAAAATCGCTAATCAAACAGTTTCTTAGGTAAGGAAGAGCTCCTGTCTACTTTCTATAAATTGGACAATGCAGAAAACGTTCGCCAAAACGCTGTATCTTCCAACTCCACTGGAAAAAACGCCATCGAAGACAAGGTCATGCTAAACAAACAGTGGCGCTGAATGGGTGTAACATCTGCGATGGCAAGGGCTTCATCCTGGGACAAATAAATATTTACTGTGAGACACACGGTAAACCTTAAGCAAACAAGATATCAATCGGGCGGAAAGTCGATTGTTTGCATAACAGTGTTAGTGATGAGCGGAGGTTGGAGAAAAAGCGAAACGCTTTGGGGAAAGTGATACAAGATAGCTTGTGCTTTAAAGACAGACAGGTGTTAAACGGTTGTGCAACAAAAACGTTGTTTGTGTAGCGAACAACCTGAGAAAAAATGAAACAAGAACGGAGAAATGATTGTCCAACTCAGGTCTGCAACGCAGTTTAACCAGAGATCACTGCACTGAGTTAGATTTGAATACATAGTGGCATTTTAAAGCAAAAATACTACTATCTACACCATCAGTACATTACGAGGCTATTGATATCATATACATACAGATCGTTAAATGTTCAGATGAACGCGTTGTAAGGTTAGTGGTTTCGGGATTAACAGAACACAAGTTTCGCTCGGGTTTTTGCATTTTCACACGCGTCCTATCTATCCTATCACTCTAAAGCCCGAATGTTCTCGTCCTCCAAGTTCTGCTAGGTACCTCAAGTTTCTTTTCTACGTGATGAAGCCGGGGTATAAGAATCCGATTCGCCTCAAACAATTTCACTCAGTTTGTATATATCTTGTTTCTTCAACAGTGTCCCAACAAACCATTAATGAGACAGTTTTGGCCCAATCCACCTGAACCGTTCTATACTGTGAACCACCAACCGCATTGGGCAGGGATAGGCACAGTGATTCGCTGACTGGATGATGCGGCTAACCCGATTAAACTAAGGATAGCCGATCGGCGGATATCTGATTGACAGTGATAATACCTAATGAAGAACGGGATAACTCGTGAGTGAAACTCACGCTACTTGCCGCCCTGTCTGGCTCAGGCTACTGGCCTAAAATAGATATATGCTTTATATAACATAGTTTATTCTCCATTGCACATTAGAAATAAAAATTCATTTGCCACAGTTAAATGTGCATGAGTCATTGACAGCAAACCAGTCGTCGGCTGTCGAAGAATTTTCAGCAACGTTATGAGTAGCGTGTTCCATCAAGAAAATATACTGTGATACATAGAATGTCGTTACAACTAAAATACGAAGCAGCCTTTGTGCAGCATAATCAGCTGAAGAATATAGCAAACGAGAGACTGGCGAGGACTCAGCTAAGCCTCCCGTTATCACAAACTTAGGTTGCAAATGAGTACGTTCCGCCCAGTGCGTACAATTCAATGTTCAAGTAAGGCGCGGATTTGACGGAAACCTAGGGACTGTGCCCACTTGGTGAGCTCCAATGAAGTATAGACTATCAGTAACTTAATAAGTAATGCTTCCCATCGAGAATAAAAGCAACTCATAATTTCCCAAAGTCTACTTAAACTGAAAGTAAGCTAGTCTATGGATTGAAGGTGCAAGTTCCTAAATAGGTCGGAGTGGAATATCCAGATGTATCTAAAGTGTGAATCAGGAAAAATAAATAGTGACCCTAAATGATCGACAAAGTCGTTCAGCTGTATCATCCTTTCGATGCCTAGCTGCCATGCCACTAGAAGGAAGCACAAGGGCTGAGATACGACCAGGTTACCCAGGCCTAGACAGGGGAAATCGAGAGGCAGAGGTCGGGTTCAAACCGCAGACCTTCCGGTCAGCAAATCCGCGCTGACCGAGCCACCTAGCCCTTCAGAAGGAGGAACGGCCGCAACACCCGGTGTACCCAGATAAGGAGAAACGGCCGCAACACCCGGTGTACCCAGTTGGTCACCCATGCAAGTTCTAACCGGGCCTAATGTTGCCTTACTTCGGTGATTACACGAGAACCGGTGTTCCCTACATGGTATGGCCGCGGCCAAAAGCTCATATAAATCTATTCGGAGGTGTACATGCAGTTCAGTGTGTGACCACATACAATACGAAATTCAAAGAACTACGGGAAGAAGCAAAAAAACTTGCAATGAGTCGTAGAACACATTGCAAATCTAAACCGCAAAGTCGCCATCAAAACTAGGTTCGATGATAATCCAACCAGTCTTTATAAAAATGATGAGAAAAAGTATGAGAAACGCACCAGATGTAATCATCCGCGGTGCCTTCGGCTAGGAGGTACCTTACGGATACTGAATCCTGCTGGCCAATACGATAAGCCCGGTCCTCAGCCTGTACCAGCGCACCGGGGTTCCAGTACAATTCCGCAAATACAACCAAGCTGGCTGCCGTCATGTTCAGTCCTAGGAACAGTGTGCAACAGGGGGGAACGTCAGATATCGCGATAGTTTAACGCTGGTAGCGGGTAAACTAATAGATAACAGCCAAGAGGATTAGCTACTCGTGAAAACGAGCTACGTGCGAGGAAATGTCTTCACCGAATATAGTTGCTAGAATGTAAAGGGGATACTGCTGGTACATTTCAAGGCAAATGCTGATTGGATAGATAGGTGACGGTGTAGAAGTTTGCTATTTTTAAGGATGAATAATGCCGTTGGTCACATGAGAGAATTTTAACTTGTGGGTGCGATCAGAGTGATGGGAGCGCACTCAGAAAGAGTTATTACAAAGAACTGATGCGAACAACCGACGTGGCCATCATGAAGACGAGTTCATTACAGATGAACAAAGAGCTGAGATCTGACTTATGGATTGGATGAGTTCGGTATGACGCAGAAATGATAACCTATGATTCTGAGCTACCTGGAAGTAGCTCAGTGCCACAGGCCGCGCAGGAATGACGGATGTGGACACCACGGCTGTTTTGTTTTCATGTTTATTGTATAAACGTCTTTGAGGGACACAAAGACATGCTGTCAGAATGAAGCAGGAAAGCACGGTCGAATCAAGACAAATCAGACGGACGAAACGAATGGTAACCAAGCTAAGTTAGCTTAAAGACGTATATTTAATCCTTTTGGCTAAAAAGTAACGCAAGTGGCAGTATACGCACCCAAGAATCCACACGTCGATGATACACACCGACTACATCGCGATGTGTTGTTCAGTTAAACAAGAATGGAAAAATAATAGCACAGCTATCTAAAGTAGATCAGAAAACAGCATTCAGTTTCAAAAACAGGTGCATTTATATGATGTTAAAAATTACATCTTAATTCAGCTAACTACCAGGTCGTGAATGCAAACCCATCTTCTGAAAGGACAGTCCAAGAAAGTACACTTTGGTGCAGAGTATCTGTAGTCTTGTCCAGATAGAAGCACAGTTCAGTTGGGGATTACGGTTAAACTCGACTAAATTATTACGCAAATATTGCTTGCTTCCTCACGCCACTTTATCCTCCCTACCTTCCGCGGTTTCCAGGTTACCAGGTGCCTCAAGCGAATACTGAGAATAAAAAACCTCTCAGCTGTAGCACCTTCCAGTGCCCAGCTGCCATGTCACCCGAAGGTTGGGACTGGCTGGGATACTGCCAGGTTGCCTTAGCCTAGACAGGGGAAGTCGAGAGGCAGAGGTCGGGTTCGAAACACGGACCTTCCGGTCAGTAAATTCGCGCTCTAACCACTTGGGCCTTACCATATCCACAAACTTCCGGAGCATTCCTTGCTCAGCGGGCGTATTAGGGAAAACGGACAGATCAGTATCAAATGCGTCCTGGAAATCCAGGAATCCTAAAATTGTGAAGGCTGGATTCACCTTCATCATTTAAGAAATGTACGCCATCGATAGTTTCCAACAAGGGCCAAACATATAAGGTGCTTCTTAGCACGCATTTCGTACAACAAAATCCAGAATTTGACGTAGTATGCAACAAATCCTCATGAAATATCACAAAACTCCGAAACACATTGTCAGAACAAAATGAACGTATGCAAAAACGGAACGAATTCCAATAATGTTCCTGAGCCTCAGTCTAAAAGAAAGTTGATTCCCCTTAGCACTGCAGTTGGGAGTGAACGAAAGACGGTTTTATATCTATTCATTCACCTCCAACTTGATCTACGTTGGAAGATCTCTAAACGTCACAGAACAAGGTTGAGCAACGCGATACAAGTCTGATCTGCTGCTTGTCGTTTGAGGCACCGGGAAAGCCAACACCGTCACTTGAAAACGGACATGTTCATTTGCTCAGAAGCCTCAGGTGAGGTGAGTCCGGCTTGCAGTGGTGTGGTACTGGTAAGCGTGACGCCTCGGATGCTCGACATCCCAGGGTTCAAATTTTAGCAGGATCAAGAACCTGCAGTACAGTGAGGTCTAATGAGACCGGAACTCTAGTCTGATGCGCCATAAGGGCAGGAAAGACCAGAGAAGAATTATGTGGATGAAACTTTTGGGAACGCTGTAACTATCCACAACTTGTTTGACGCCGAAACTTTAGTAATCCTTCCCTGGAACGAGCCTCGTTTGGTGATGGTGTTTTCGGTGAGTTCGCGAATTCGACAACAGATACATGCGATGAAAAGACCACTCCTCCAATCCTCCAAAGACCGAATTTTCGCACCATCGTCACCCCATAATTTGGTTTTTTCGTTTGTTTTCTACCCGTCGCAGGTAAAACTGAGAACAATGGGTGGGGGAACACACCCAATGCTTCGTTCAGCGTATAAAACCGAGTAGCGCCTCACCGAATGTCAATACAAAACACCCACTTTGTACTTTTAGTGTATTTCTGGACGACGTATGCATGTCAAAGCTAACATTCGGTTGCTCACGAATGTATAACAAACACGTGTTCAGAACGGGACACAATATTAGTGTGAGTCTTTTTGTGGCATGACGTAACGTGTTTATGGTAGCTAATTCATGCATCAATCTGCAAGCGCTTCGTTAGAACAACATCCAACCGGGTGGCAATTTTTGCGGGAATCTCGAAGTCCGATGGAAATGCACACAACACAAAAGGGCTCGACAACGAATCCAAACATCATTCATCCGCTTGATTTCACTGTTGCTTCCTCAGACTGTTAGGGGCGTCAGTTAAGCTCAAGATGCCTGTGAGTAAATTGACATGGCATTCGTGGGTCAGGATGGTTAAGCAGCATTAAAATATACACACACTAAGTAGGTACATCCGCTGTACCCCTGTTTCCATTCAGTGTCACAAGTCTCCAAGAGGGATTTGACAGGCCACCACTAATTCACTCCGCGTAGCAGTACAGCGGTCCAGAGTCCGACTGGCTACTGTTGATATGCCTTTTTCAGACAAACGACAAACGTTAGCACTAAATTTGAATATTAATTGCGATTCGGTGATAAGAGTTCTAGTTTTTTCAAAATCATTTGGTGCCAGATCAAGCCAGTGTGACCCAAGGAGATGGAAAAACGAGAATGAAACGAGAATAAAAGTCGAAAAATCAATAAGGTGTTTCGCTGATTGTTGCCAAGCTGGTGCAGCGCATACGCAAACTGCTCTGAAGCAAAAAGAATAAACCAATTGCCCATGAGTGGAGTCAAAGCCAGCTGACATCTAAACTTAAGCGGATGCGAAACAGTGCCAAATTCAGTAAGATTCGTTATTGTATAGTTCGGTAAACTTTATCAACAGTTCATAACCAGCAGAATCCACGGTGTGCCATCATACGGACCACCATCTCTGAAACAGACTGTTTCTTCGTTCACTTGGGACGATCACTCTGAGAGGTGGAATGATGTACCCAAAACGCTTGTGGAACAGAATGACTCAAAAGACCATAACACTCGAGTTTGAACTTTACTGTTGTGTATTTACAAGATGTCGTCTAGTTGGTTGGTGGATCTAGTATTGGTAAGACATCGGTTGGAAGTTGGGTTCTATGCTCATGAAACGCCTGTGGGACACGTGGCCCTCTGTGAGCCTAGCTGGAGACCTCGTGAGATATGGTGTCAGTTTCTATTCCGACCGTCTCACTATATGCAGATCAGATGTTTTTAGCCGTATATCGGCATATCCTTTGCATCGCTCACTCTGTTTTTCATTTCACTGCGCAGTTTTCTTCAAACAAAATGAGGTGTTTGTATGAGAGTGAAGCACCGGTGTTCAGAAACAGATCTACGGTGTTTGATTGCCCGGATACCAAGCCACAATCCGAATGTGATAAAAAGATTCAGCGCTCACTTGAACCGTTCAAGACTTACATCCTCAAATGGCCTCTCATTAATTGGACACATACCAAGAGTTTCACGCCTATCTCTTCAAAAAGAGACAGACTATTTAAATTTGATCGTACATCCACTGACAGTGGAGTGCCAAGCCATCCACCGCTTATCCTAGTTCAACGACTAAAAAGCTCAACGAGCGAATAAGGATAAACACCAATCTTATTGACTGGTGACTACCATGTTCCGATTGAACAATCGCTATCTAGATCCAGTTCACTTCGGGCAGCAATATACCCACAGCCAGTGCGGAAAACCGGACCTAATCAACTGTACGGTGTGTGAAAACATTCACCTGGTTGAGATGTGTCATTTTTGCAAGAGTTAGACTCTTAGGTTGGGCGGTGATCAGATATAACAAAACACTTCCAACCAGTTGCCAAAAACGACAACAGAACGGCACGTGTGTAAGACTTGTCGCCTCTCCCCAACCTAAAGAATTCAGACCTGATAACCCTAATTGTGTACCCGTGACTTATTTCGATATCACACACACTTTGGGGGCAAACAATAAAGTCACTATTTCAAGCTAAATTCATCCAAACCGACACAGCAAAACCTTTCGTTAACTTTTGAAGCGCATCTGACCGATGCATCTTCCGACGTCTAAGTGGGACGAATCTGCGGTGAAAAAAGCATTAAAAGTGATCAAGCTGGCCAGTGGTCTAAAAGCTAATGATACACGTTTCCATCGAAATGATTGTGATCCCCAAAAGTAACACGAACAACGGATGCTCGGAATACAAAAAGTTGTAAACAATCACGTGTAAGAGGAGACTTTTAATGCACACCTGTGCCTGCAGCCGTAATCGATAGCAGAGCGACAAGACAGTTTTCTTCTTCTTGGAATTTTCTACATACGACGGAACGCTGCTCAGAGTTTGTTCGACCATCGATCCGAATGAAGTCAATGGACTGGAAAGTAGACCGAAGGTGGAAATTTACCAATGGAAAAAATAACATCATCAAGGTGAAAACCGTATCAATGGAATATACAACAATACGTAAATTGGTTTCGTCGATATCAGTGGGGAAGTCAAGTTCGACAACCCCGTGTAACTGTCTCCTAATTTCGGAGAGTCAAAGTTCCAGATGATGCATACGTTAGACTTCGAGCTCCTCAAAGGGGGTTCTAGTACATTCCTTGGATAGCCTGAAAGTGGCTCAGAATTTATACGCGCTATAGGCTGTATAGCAGCTGCGCACCAAACAGGCGCGTGTAACACTTCACTAGTACCGTGCAACGTATCCTGTACGACGATTAACAGTTAAAAACCAAAGCGTCTTAGAAAACTGCGTGAACCTTTCACCACAAAATCAACACCGGAAGACCCAAGTCATTTGAACCTATGAGAGGCTACTTGCATAGGTCGTTGAGGAGAAATGGCACCGTACCACGTGTAACTAAAGTCTATCTATCATCTATCGTCAACTGAAAGTTCAAGCACACCTCACAAACTCACCTTTTCCATTAGCAAATTACTCAAAGCATCCAACACCTCCGTGTGGTGTGCGTATACCAAAAATTTCCTACCAACTTCGACTAAGTCAAGTACATATTGTCTGAAACGATAAATTAGAACCAATGAGAAAAATGTCGCAAATGTCACAGGCCAATGAATCATACGCAACAATAGTTGCTACAGAATATTTGTGTCGAAGCACACAGAACGCACCAACGGGCAAGTACGTTGGGCGACTGGTCTATGGTATGCCCACAGAGAATATAAACGATGGTGTCCTTAACTACCGTAATAGACACCACGAGGGAAGTATCCTACAGCCTAACCAACGGGAATGCGTTCACTGAAGCCCGAAGGCTGAACTGAAGGCCGAACATGCAATCCTCAGTTGTCGGATAAAAACGTGAAACCCTCAAATAGTACACCATGTTCAGTCACTCTTGAAACAAGAACTCCATCATGTAATTTGTACGGGTGCTCGAATTTGATGCTACCGCTTCCTGCGGGTGTCATGGCAGTTGGGCACCGGAAGCGTGTTACAGCTGTTATTCAACCATGGGAATTCTCGGGTAGAATTGGATCGTTTTCTCCCCAGGCTTGGGGAAATCAATGCAAAGTCCCGGGAGCGACTAGCTGTCTGTTCGAGAAGCCATTTCACTAATGAAACCAGATGAGCCTCGAGGTCACTTTTCAAGTGGGTAGGCGGAAAATTCAAGTAAGGCAAGTGATAAATGATAATAAATTAAAATGAGATGGAAACGGTGACGGAATTTTGCCACCAGTTAGTCTCATCCGATGTTGGCTAGCCTTCGGATAAAACTCAATTTGCAGATTGAATGTGAGGATGCCATCAGTACATGCCAGCATGGGATAAGATTATTTGTAAGTGTACGATTCATGTCTGTATGTGGGCTGGAATACTACCAGGGTGCCCACAGCTATACAAGACGATTAGGGTCCTCAACCAAAGCATTTGGCTCAAAATCCTAACCGCGAGGCAGCGGTGGCTGGCGTAATACCGTAACAGCAGCCTACATTCTTAAGAATCAATTCGCCACACATGTTGTAACCCACAATCTGGAGGACCAGGAGACTGCGTTGGTCATATCTCTACCCATGAACCGACCTGGTAAGACAAGCTCTGTGAGTGTAACAAATATACCTCCCAAGTTTAGCCTAATGGGTTATGGAGGTGCACAAACAGTCACGTCGCGGTAAGGTCAAGTCTCTTCGCGTTTAGTGTGGTTGTGAGCCAACAACCGATTCATAAAACTTGAAGTACTGCATATGTGTAGTATCAGAGTCAAAATGACTTCAAGTTTGTTCAGAAACTGCAAGTTTTTTTCTCTCCTCCGCCAGTGTATGTTGAAATTTACGCTAATGATTGTACAAGGTCGTTTTCAAAGAACAAACGCGTTTCGTGTCAATGTTTGCTCAGGTCAAACCGTGAGGCACCAGTCGGGTAGAACTTATCCGCAATCAAATACGACCTAATAAACACCACAACCTTGAGGACAGCACGAGTACCGTTTACCCGGAAGTCCCAGTGTTGAACTCCAAACCAGTGAGACCACAATTCCGCTCAAAAGTATCATTTCTACATTGGCCCCAGCAACCACAAATAGAGCAAAATAGTACCAACTAACTTACTGTAAAGCAGGCACCTTTACCGATGCTGTCTCGTGAAAATATTGTAACATCGCAGCACGTCTCTCATCTGACTGAAGTGTAAAGCAAAGATTGCAGTTGATGGAAGGGGAATAAATTCGCGCTTACAGGCAAACTGGAAGTGACCATCCGTTTGGCGTGGGATTTTAGTCGACCGGCTTTGATGACGTTCGGATCTAAGACGACTAATTCACGTCGTTTAGGAGGTAACTGGCTGAGGACATCCGACTTTAGTCGTCTAAAAAGAAAACAAGAATTATAATCTTATCCCAACAGGAAGCAATCATACGGTGAAAAGCAATAATAAAAATCCAAAGCAGAGAAAACAGAGCGGCCACCGTCAGTGCGGGCCGACTAACCAAAGATATGGAACCCGTCTTTGGTTGCTTGTGGAAATTAATCAATCGCTATAGTCTGTTTACAGAAAGATTTCCACACCACTTCTTAAGAATGTCCACCAATAAAAGAAGGTAAAACCAGATGGTCTGGTAATTTTGTCCCGGGTCCAAACACAAATTTTGTCGCAAAAAGGCTAACATAAACCACGAGGTTTGAACGGACTGCCAGATCCAATGACACACTAGCGAGTCTATCTTGAGAAACTTTTGTAGTGCTTGGCGAGTAAATCCACCAGGGAGATGCGGCAGGTACCGTGTTTCAAGCACAAACTACTTAAGGACAGCCAGTTGTGTGATGTGGGGCGAAGTCGTGAGTATGTTAGCGGATAAAGCTCCAGGCACTTTTGTGCAAATCGTTCCAGTGGTTCGAAATCACATCAGTCGTAGTCAAAATTAGTTACTTTTTGTGAACCGTGAGCATACTATTTGTAATTTATAGCTGTATACACGTGCTTGACACCGCGCTCTGTTAGTGAACAGCTGAATTCATATTCGTGACGGATGGAAAGCGACGATAAGTGATTTACAACATTTGAAACAATATAAAAGGACGAGATAATTCCGAACACCCTAGATAAGTTTGTTTGGACTCAGAGGAACAGTTCAGACTGATAATTAAGTAGCGTGGAGTTCATCATAAAACAAATTATGGGCACTTACCTTATCATGATCGATTCCTCCAGGATCAATTGCAATTCCGTCATATGTGAGCATCCGGTGTAGTCCCAGCCCCAAGGACATTCTTTTGCCGCACAATAACGTAACCCAAACTCGTGAAACCCTCCAGGAAACAGGTTTGGAGCAACACCCGAAATTTGCGAATATAGTTCAGCTGGTCGAGAAACCGCTGGAGTGCCACTGAGCAAAAGAACTCGCTTTGTAGCCTGACCGGTTGGTACCGAAAGTGTGAGGGATCAGAAATACTAAATAAGTAGTACAACACCGATTACGCGCTGTAAACCTCACGTAAATGGATGGTCGACAGCTACTCGCGCCACCCGGTTGATGACACCATGTGGTATCCGCGTCCATAATATCGGCCCGGGTCACCTAAATATCTACCCTCCTCAGAAGCAAAAACACGCGGAACGAACCACCGTACCCACAGCGAACAAATAAGATGTGTCTTACTTCAGTGTTTACGAGTACGAGGACATACCAATGCTTGTTTTAAAACTGGGGGCTTTTCGTCAAAATCCTCCTTTTTGTCCGTCGATTTTACGATTGCTTTAAACTCAGTCAGGAAATACGAAAGATCGGTTTGACGTCCACATTTTAAGTTTCCCCGTCATAATTTGTTTCCTAAGAACCCCTCTACAATGAGGACTTCAAATGGAAAATGAAGCTTTCCCCAACAGTGTTCGTAACTGACCAAAGTGTCCTAATCTGGTAGGCTTTAGTTGCTGCAAGAGCAATCTAATTTGGCACCTCATATACGTTTGGGCGGCCCGCTAAAACCAGACGTGCTATGGTGATCGGCAATCGGATAACTGAGAACGCTAGGCAAGTTCCAATTGGAACAGCCAAGCCACAAAAGAGAAACCGCTAGCACAATATACATCAAGTAGGGTGAACAAAACTTGATAGAAACGACTGATTTCCTGTATCAAATTACAAACCGTTCCCGAGAACTGTCTTAATACCTATGGAAAATCAGAATGAAAGGTTTTCCCTCGAAAGTTCATTCTTTGAATCAAGTTTTAACGGTGAGGCCCTCCAAGAAAAGTTTCGTCAACTCCTTCAGATGTTCTACTGAAAGGGAAAAGCCATAATGTGAAAACACGTAGTATAAAGAACACATAATGCGTGTTCGTCATTATGGAATGACTCCTTTGAATGCGTCGAAACTTCAATCAAAAGTACTTGCCTTCAGTAGAGGAATGGCAGCCTTGGTACGGCTCGTTTTGCTATTCTTTAGAAAGTGTGACTCATCCTGGGGAAGAAAAAGGGAAATTTATCGTCTGAAATACTACCAGATGGCAATTAACGCGTTGGAGAAAATACAAAATCTAAATTAAGCTTGAAATGCAGGGTATAGCTTTAACCCATATACACTCAAACCATCATTCAAGCTGAAAAAAATCACTTCAGAATTTAGCACCAAACTTAACGAATGAATGTCAAAAAAGAGAGACCAGATGGTGTTCTGTATGCACATTTTTACCAACATCGCTGCATTACTTACAACGAAAAGAAATATTACGAAGCAGTTTACTGGCCCATTACTCGATCTACTCGACCCTGGATATTCATGCCAACTATAGTTCAAAAAGTGGCTGTAGGTAGCGGAACATTAGTCCCTTGTATAAATCTACGAGTATATCTCGGGAAGCAAAAAGAGTGAGGCTGTATTAAGAAGGTACCGGATAGTCAGTAGTATGGTTAGAAACGCATGAGTAAAAGATTATCACGGTATATGATGGAAGCTTTCGAGAACGATTCCCCGGAAATCCACAGAGGGAACGGGGAATGGTGATTCGGAATTGCGGTTAGAATCTATAAGTGATACATTTAAGATGTGGGCAAAAATAGTGTTAATCCACTTGTTAGGCAGAACCAATTAGAGCCTCGCAACAAACATCCATCGGACAACCACTGGTGCAAATGGTGTTGTGGCGCTCGTGACATACTACAGAGCGAAGTAATGTATACTCAAATATTCGAATAAAGCCAATATGAGGAGACTGCAGAAGGTGTGGACACGGAGATGGAAGGCATAATCACATGAAATGCTCCAGGTTTCCGAACAACTTGGGTTGAGGCGCTTTGATGGTAGCAGATAGAGAAACCAGGCGGGGCACATATCTACACGGATAGTTTACAACCACCAGAACAAGAGTAATGTTCTAAACAGGCCAAAAACAATGGTCTTACGCGTCACCAGTCCCCCTCATCACAGATATTCCTTGGCGTAAGTTTGGAAACTTTCTGATCAGAAATGCCTCGTGACGGAACTAGTAAATCGTTTAATACACTCATTGTTAAATTGAATTGATTTTAACGGGAGAAACGAATATCAGCCGGACGTTTACAATCTCCTACATGCTCTTCAAATGCACATGCTGTATAAAGGTATATTCATCGGAAGATATTCAGCTATTGCATAATTTCACCTACGTACAAACTGGTGTTCAAGTGAAAATAGAGACTGAAGCAAACTGGGGAAAAAAGCCTACCTGATGACCAAAAAACACGAAACTGTTATTGAGCTGCCGAAGAGTTTTCAATAACCTTAAAGTTAATGTTCTATCACGAGCAAGTTCTTTTGTTTCTGTTTTTTTCAACGTAAGTAATATGGTAGTAACAAAATGGAGTACGCGTAGCTAAAATTTGGTCTAATATTCTTGCGTTGCTGGTCTCGTGAAATCCGCTAACTGCAGGCAAGATATCCTGGGAACTGGGTAAGTCTTAAATTCCAATCAAAAGAGCCCCGTACAGATGAAACATCGAATAATTTAGAAATACGTACGCTTGTTCCTCCAAGTTGATAATATTATTTGGAATAAGAACGGTCGAAACTTAGTGTATGAAGCTCCATGCCTGTTTACGAAATGGCACCATGAGGCCTTTTGAAGCATCAGCATAGGGACAATGTTGGTATTGTGTTGAAATATTGTTACCTCGGGTGAGTTTATTGGTTGACGAGCAGGTGGCTGTTGATCTGTTCGCCCAGCTTGGCAATCGGCTTGCAAACGTTTCGTCACCATACGAGGAGACATCAGTGCGCAATTAAGTGGGTACTTCTTCTGGCCTGCGTGTGTTTACATAGCGTTCAAAAGCTATCTGTTATCTTTTGACGTGGTTGACTACTTGAAGTTTAACGAATTTAGACTGATGATGTCTCCTCGTATGGTGACGAAACGTTTGCAAGCCAATCGCCAAGCTCGGCGAACAGATCAACCTCCACCTGATAAACGACCAATATGGATAGTTTCCCTGTGTGAAGAATCCAAGACAAATAACTTTACTGGCTAACTAGCAGTACATCATTGGTCATCTATCCCTCGAACTGCTTTGGAGCCGGCAAAGTTGTATGGCTATTTCTCAATTTTCGTCATCTCTAGTTTATGTAAATACGTTGTGGTTCCAAATACTGGAGGAATGCGACAAGGTTGGGTACTTTCCGGGCAAATGGGTAACGTTAGTGACACACATGCCACCGAAATCGGGAGCAAGCGTCCGATGATAGAATCTGTCCCCCTGATGTACACCCAGAGGAGACCCAGAATAACAATACCTGCTACTAAGGCAACCTCTGCATCATATCCCGGATAAGCGGCCAGTTGGTGCAGTTTTCACTCAAAGCTGTAGTAGACGAAGAAATTGCCAAGAAATGACCAACTGGCTTCCCTGCAAGTCTCACGCCTTCTATTCTGATAGAGAGGTACAAGGTATTGGGAGCAAACTACCACCAGGTAGACCATCTTGGGGATAGGAGTTCTCTAAGGCTATAATATATCCTATCCTCCTTGTATACAGGGAAATTGTGTCGGCGAACAAAGTAAGCTAAAGTAAACGGAACAAAGCCAACCCAAGGTATATATTTGTAATGCACTACTCATAAGGTTGCTGAAAATCCGTCGACAGCCCGCGGCCGGTCTCGACATTTTCGGGGCTCATCAGGTAGGCTCAGTTCCCGAGTTTCCGTCAACCGAGAGATTTAGCTGGGTTCCAGGTGAGTCTCGGAAAACCAAATTAGTTTGCAAATGTATATTCGCCAACCCAAGGTAGTTCACCAGGAGAGAATCGCGTTGGTCTGCAGAGCAGAATGGTTTGAGATGAAACAAGCTACTGAAAATTTGGGAGTAGTGTGAAATAACGCCATACGGTCGAGACAACTGAGGTTAACCTATGTATTGGCCACAACAAATGGTTAGTCATGGTGTAGCATTTTCTGTCCATGCAGTGACGCACTCACCATGATGATCACACCAAAATTGCACAGTCTGAGTTGTTCAGCATGTTTAGCCATCAGGTCGTAGCTGATTATCGTTATCAGCTTAGTTGTGTATTGATTGATCCCTTCCATATCACGACCGTTCGCCACAACAAGGATGTCTGCCGATGTGATGCGTAAGGGTCCCGACAGCCAGCGCATGCACTGATCACGCCAAGAAAAACGCACAGATGAAGGAGCGACAACCAGTAAAGGCCAGTCGGAACGATAGGCTGCGGCCACAGCCAATGCCTGGATAGTTTTTCCTAATCCCATATCATCGGCCAAAAGTACGCGACCAGATCGTGCCAAAGCCAAACTGAGAAAAAGATAAAACCGAAATGGTAGGGTGATATGGGTTGGAAATCCTGTGCTAATGGAACACGAAATGCCAGTCTTATGTGACAATACGAGGAGCAATCTGTTCAGTGTGCGCACAATCACTGCTCTGAAGAATGGAATCCACACAGGTTCGTGAACCCTTATCTTCGTGCACCGCTACATCTGCTTCAGAAAGACCTAGGGACTAAGAGTTCGACGGGTGGAGTAGTCCTTAACATATCATTTCGCACAAAGAAAAATACTCACCCTCACTGAACAGAACTCGTTAGCCAATCAAAACCGAATAAGTAGCCAAGTGGAAAAGCAGGCGAACAGGAGTCTCAGTATCCACAAAAAGAAATCCCGAATGAATTGGGTTTGAAGATTAAGTCATTCAGTCGTGGATAATCAACAGCAGAGATGACTGTTAAAGATCTACGGCAGCCGATATCGAAATAACAATGAAATATGCTTTGAAGACCCAGAAATCATTCGAGAAGAACAAAACCAAACTGCAGAAAACTGAGAGTAACGGAAAGCGTTGTCTGGTGTCTTGCAGGCCGTAAAGGCAATGCCGCAGGTGACCACAAGGAAATTTAAGCAGAAAAATGAAACGCATTTAGTTTGGCAGAAAGCAGGGAGAGAATTTGATGTGGTAACAATATACAACTTGACTGAATCAGGATTCCACTCCAAGCACACCAGTACTCAAAAGGTATCCTCGACAGATCGGTTCAGTCACTAAAGGACCAAGAACGCGTGTGCTCATTGATTAACAATTAGGTAATGTCCGAATATGTACTTCACTCGACCAAGGGCCAGTAACCTGCAATGATGCTGTTTTTTTACTTATTTCGTTGTTACCTGCGTACGCTCACCAGAACCTTCGATAGGCATGGACGCGTTACTCGGTACCCTAAGGTGGGTTGTCCTGTGACGAAATCGTTCGCAGGCTCCCAGTGGTGTAAAAGATGTGCCAAACTAAGAATATGGGCGAAGAATACTCAAAAACGCCTCAGGAATGTTGGAATATATAAAAAGCAAAAAACTTTCTGGTATGAGACGAAACATTTCAGAAAGACCTCAGGAAAAAGATATGAACCTGGTACGTCTCTGTTTACAGCCAAGAGGTAACGAGCAAAAAGCCCGTAAGTCAGCCCTCAGCCAACAAATACCAACAAATGAGGAAACCGTATTTGCAGAGCTTTCAGTATTCGGAGTTGTCCCTAAAATCCATTGAACTAAGTGAGCACACCCTGAGTTACTGCCGTGGGAAACAGGTCAACCGGCAATGGTTAACCACAAAGGATGGAAGTAAGGACAGATACCTGATGGAATGAAGTTTACAGAGGGAGTAACCTAGTTTGCACGGAAAACGTCCGCGTTGTTAAACACGTTTGATTTGAAATGGTTTATACAATGCATGACCTCTGGAGCGAAACAGATAACACAGTGACAGTTACGTGGTCTTTTCTAGAAACCACTATTCTATCAATATTTCAAGAAAATAGACTACCAAAAATTGATTCTACAGAATAGAAGAAACATAACTTATTTTCACTCAGAATAAGACAGCCTGACGAATGATGGTTAAAACCTGGAGAAAATCACCACTCAGAAAAATCCTTAGGCACAAACTCTTAGCGGCTTCTCCAGGGAGGTCGTTGCTAAAAGAAACCTACTGACCAGTTCCAAGCCACCCCAGCTATGACGGCCCGAAATTAAACGAACCACAGTTCACGCAAGAAACTACTCATGGTTGACGACGGTGAAAGTAATTAACCTGAACTAATTGGACAGAAGAACGTGCAGAGAATTTAGTGCAAAAATGTAATGTAAAAAATACATCAGCTGCCCACCTGACGCCCTCTCGTTGGAAAGGGAACAGAACACGAACCAAGTCAGCTGGGAGATAATCTGAAAGATTTTTAACGGTTGAATTCCCCTCCACAGCTTCCGACGGGTTCGAAGAGAAGGCGGATTTAAATGTCTATAGGAAGCAGTCCATGGAAGCTCTAGGCAAGGTTACCTTGAGAACAGCACTCGGAAGACCATCTATAGCAATTCCAGGCATTGCCTTAGCTCTGCGAACTAAAAGGTCTGGTAAAACGGAACAAACAATAAGAACGAACCGAATTCGTTATAGTCCGTCAGCCCGAAAGACCATTTCCTTGTGGTAGGGTCTGGAAAGGAAATGATACGCTCGTATCAGCCTTTCATAGATGCAGTAAGCGAGGGAACAAAGTAGTACACATCAGTCACTCAGCAAACAATGTTTTGCGACGGACGATAATACTAAGAATGCGTACGGGTAATTCACATATTGAAAGTCATTGACTCACTATACTGCCGAGTGGGCATGCTTTTATAAAGCTCTGAAAGGCCAGCGTGATAACGAGCCTGTACCTCAAAGGTTGACCTGGATGAGAGGTAGCAAACAACTGTCACGACTGGTACGTGAGATGAGGAAGCTAAGCTTTGGTTAGTTGGTTGAGTGACTCCCTTTCCCATCGTCACGGGCTTGCCTGTCACCGGTCGATTCAAACTGTTGAGAGGCATGTTTGACGGGACGAAAGTTCTTGCCCTGTGGTGTGCTGGAATCCTGGGCATTTTGTTTGTCGTCGTTTGGGATTTCACGAGGGTGCTTAGAGCAGAAAATACAAACACGCTGTGATTAGGAAGGTAAGACTTGACACCACTTAGGAAAGTCTGAAACGAAGAAGTTGATTATAAACATTCTACGGTGTCATGCCAATTCAAACTTGATTCACGAAGCAGTCCGCCTGAAAATCATTGAATATAAAAATTGTCAGCAAAAACACCTTTCTGGTGCCTAGCTGCCATGCCACCAGAAAGAAGCACGGGGGCTGAGGTACTGCAAGGTAGGTTGCCAGTAGTCGATATGCCGAGGTTGGGTTCAAACCACGAACCTTCCAGCCAACAAGTTCACGCCCTAACCACTGAGCTATCTAAGTGAGGCGAAATTCAGGCCCCCTTTGTAAGTCACTGCATGTCAAATGAGACAAACACCTAAGAGGATAAAAACCCAGTGCTCATACACTGGGTCTTGTAAAGGACTGCATCGCTCAACTTTGGGGACTCAGGATTTGCCAGTTCCTAGCTTTCTATGTAAGGTACTGCAAGGTTGCTAGACAGTAGTCGATATGCCGAGGTTGGGTTCAAACCACGAACCTTCCAGCCAACAAGTTCACGCCCTAACCACTGAGCTATCTAAGTGAGGCGAAATTCAGGACCCCTTTGTAAGTCACTGCATGTCAAATGAGACAAACACCTAAGAGGATAAAAACCCAGTGCTCATACACTGGGTCTTGTAAAGGACTGCATCGCTCAACTTTGGGGACTCAGGATTTGCCAGTTCCTAGCTTTCTATGTAATAAATGAGCAAAACCGAAGGTACTCACGTACAGATATTGCCACTCCAAGTTTTGGCCACTTTCGTCAAATCCTCTGTAGGATGGTATGTTAATTGCCTCATTGCAATAGATACGAAAGCATGTCTTTGGGTCACAAGGAACAAAGCATGAACGTAAATGGTGTTTGAATCCTACCTCAGGCGAACAGCTTTGAAGGCTATCAGCATTCCTGTCGCCATCCGGAGCATAATTACTGCCAGAGTGTCTGTTTGCTGCTGGAAGCTTTTCCGCCAACTTAGCTCGATACTGATGGACTTCAGAGACGCTTTGTAGGTGGTGAATTGAAAGGCCTTGGGCGAACCAGTACGCTCAAGAAAAGAAAGCAAACAGCCACAAGTATTCGCACAGCGGCTTCGTCAGAATTAAGTTCTAGTTCAATAATGCAGAATGAATGACAACCCTGTGTCAAAGCTCTCCATTGATACCTCGTTGCCACGTGGTCCAAATGAGTCCAGGGCCGGTTTGCAGGCGGCCTCCAGGTAACATGGTGAGCGCTAGTGATGAAAGTTCATGATAGCAAGAAACGGATGTTCAGTACATAATTGAAGGAGTCACTCCCCATTATCTCCAAGATGACCTTCCGGACTTAGTTCGTCAACCTGAGCATTCGTATCACCTGTCGGAATAACGACATGTGTATTTCTTCCGGACCGAAGCAGCCGGCATAAGTTGACTTTCTAAGCCTAAAAGCTGGCCTCTGTCGGAGTGTATGCTGACACGACAAATAAACTGCTTGCTGTCGTGGAATGCACTAATGGAAAGAAAAACAGAGCCTGAGAAGGAGACGTCTGTGCCCAACTTAACAGGGTACGGCCATTGAAAGCCGGAATGTTTGAATTCAGTGATTTATTTCAACTTAGTTTCTGGGCAAATTTTATATAAAAAGCAACGGTTGACCGACAGCCCTATGAGTCAAAACGAATTAACCCAGAAACACGTGAGGAAGGGTCGGTGAATGAAGAGCTGTAAGGGCAAATCATACTTGTTGGGTACCCAGGCAAACGCAGGGTTGGTTGGGTTAGACCACTGTTAGTCTTTGGCACAAGTGTGAGGCAGTAGAAAGACGCAGGGTTTTGCTAGGGACTCCTTTCCCACCCTACCCCAAAAAATCTAAATAATGAAGCAGCGGTTGTTAGGCTTCTCATTAGGCCTCCTACCGGGAGCCAATGACTGCACAGTCTGACCCGCTTGATGGCATGGGACTTGCCTGGCCTGAAAGCACATCATTTTAATCACCCTCAAAGACAGAAACACCAGTCTGGACAACAGTGCTTCATTGCCGTGCAACCATAAAGTTCGTCTAATGATCGAAATACACTCATTTGCACACAAATTTGTTTTTGCGAGTGACTCACCTGGAACCCAACAAAATCTGTCGTTTATGATGTTTCCAGGCAGCCTCATGTTTAATTTGCTACGATATTCGAGATATCGCAATACATATATATTCGTAATGCGCTACTCATAAGGTTGCTGAAAGCTCTTCGACAGCCCATGATCGGTTTCGCCATTCGTGGGGCTCATCAGGTAGGCACAGTCCCCAAATTTGTTTGCGAATGAGTGTATTTCGTTAATTTTGTGAAATTTGGTTTCAAGTAGAACATAGGGTTGACGGAAATTCGGGGACTGCGCCGTGGGCTGTCAAAAAACTTTTAGCAACCTTATGAGTAGTGCATTACTAATATTCGTCTAATTATATATGAAGACCTAGATTGAAAAGTTGAGAAAAAGAGTGAGTGGGGAATGGGACCTAGTGTTGGTCTATGTCAAGCAATCAGAATTGCCTGCACCTCCATCCGCTCAATCAGACAAGCTGGAAAGAAAATGACAGCACGAACGCCAGTGACATCGATTAGCCGCAATTTCTTGCAATGTCTCAAGCGAAGTTTAGGTGGGGTCCCGGGGACCCCATCGTTGAAGGCATACCAACAACCCCTAAACTTTTCGTGATCTCTTCCAGGCCCTTCTGCCAAGTCATACGTTGTCCATATTGCAGTTTGCGCCAGTCTGAAGGAGGCACGGAGAACACTCATCTCGGTAGACGGTGTTTCGGCATCAGTAGCACATGGCCGAACCATCGAAGTCAGTGGGGTTGAAGGTCTTCCCAGACTGAAGTGTCTGCCGCACAACCAAATGCCCGGTTTATAATTACCTCGTTACTGAAACACTGAAGCTATCCAAAACCAGCAACACTTCTGTGGCATCAGTAGTCAAAAACCTGAAAATGTCTTACATCATCTGCGCGCAGAGGCCGTCTCGAACCCATACAACAACGAAGCCCTTACTGTAGCCTGGTACACCCAACCCAGTGACAAGCCTTTTCGACGCCGCAAGTGACGCAAATCAGCAAACGTCATTCGAGCCTTTGAGATTCTTGCAGACTTCATCAGACACGCTTCCGTTAGAGCCAATAAAGCTACCAAGGTAGGGAAAATTTTCCAGTCTCCAGTGATTCTCCTTGAATTGCAAAGGACGAGTTCAGAGACCGCACGTTCTGAAGCATGAATCTGCACTTCGAAAGTGCGAGACGCATGCCGAAAGATGGTATGATGGTGGTCAGTCTATTCAAGAGGGCATGCGCCTTGATTCGTTTTTTTTAATGAGGGCGATTTCTGTGTATTACAGATCGACAAACCTCGCACCATATCGTTCAGCTGTAACACACCTTNGCAACCTTATGAGTAGTGCATTACTAATATTCGTCTAATTATATATGAAGACCTAGATTGAAAAGTTGAGAAAAAGAGTGAGTGGGGAATGGGACCTAGTGTTGGTCTATGTCAAGCAATCAGAATTGCCTGCACCTCCATCCGCTCAATCAGACAAGCTGGAAAGAAAATGACAGCACGAACGCCAGTGACATCGATTAGCCGCAATTTCTTGCAATGTCTCAAGCGAAGTTTAGGTGGGGTCCCGGGGACCCCATCGTTGAAGGCATACCAACAACCCCTAAACTTTTCGTGATCTCTTCCAGGCCCTTCTGCCAAGTCATACGTTGTCCATATTGCAGTTTGCGCCAGTCTGAAGGAGGCACGGAGAACACTCATCTCGGTAGACGGTGTTTCGGCATCAGTAGCACATGGCCGAACCATCGAAGTCAGTGGGGTTGAAGGTCTTCCCAGACTGAAGTGTCTGCCGCACAACCAAATGCCCGGTTTATAATTACCTCGTTACTGAAACACTGAAGCTATCCAAAACCAGCAACACTTCTGTGGCATCAGTAGTCAAAAACCTGAAAATGTCTTACATCATCTGCGCGCAGAGGCCGTCTCGAACCCATACAACAACGAAGCCCTTACTGTAGCCTGGTACACCCAACCCAGTGACAAGCCTTTTCGACGCCGCAAGTGACGCAAATCAGCAAACGTCATTCGAGCCTTTGAGATTCTTGCAGACTTCATCAGACACGCTTCCGTTAGAGCCAATAAAGCTACCAAGGTAGGGAAAATTTTCCAGTCTCCAGTGATTCTCCTTGAATTGCAAAGGACGAGTTCAGAGACCGCACGTTCTGAAGCATGAATCTGCACTTCGAAAGTGCGAGACGCATGCCGAAAGATGGTATGATGGTGGTCAGTCTATTCAAGAGGGCATGCGCCTTGATTCGTTTTTTTAAATGAGGGCGATTTCTGTGTATTACAGATCGACAAACCTCGCACCATATCGTTCAGCTGTAACACACCTTCCAGTGCCTAGCCCGAAGGAAGTACGAGGGCTGAGATACTGCCCGGTTGCCCAAGCTTAGATAGGAAGTAGAGAAGCAAAGGTCGGGTTCGAACCGCAGACCTTCCGGTCAGCGTATTCGCGCTCTAGCCACTTGAGCCATCTTGCCATTTTGCAAGCCGGAGAAAATGAAGATGGAACGTAATAGGAGACACCGGAAGGTTTGCCTTTTTCGGAATGTATCCTGTGACAAAACAAACTAACCGTCCATAAAGTTCACATTTTCGCTCTCAGCCGACGGAACAATAACAACAGCTGCAGGCGGCCAGCAAAAAAGCAAATTTAATTTATTAATAGTTTCTACTTGGTTCCGCATATGCACTGAAATTTGGTGGGGACGTGCCTACTAGTGAATGGCCAAACAATTGTTCTTTAATTTCAAACTGCTCAATGAGCATCCGATAATTCATCATCATCAAAGACAGCAACATCAGTGTGGGCACTGATGCTTCACTGCCGTACAACCATAAGGTTCGTCTAGTTATATTAT